ATTGTTCTAGAATCAAAGCCTGTGTAGTAGGTGTGGTTGGCAGAACAATGGCATAAAATGTGGATTAGTTACTTAGCCCACCACAGAGACCAAACCTGACAGAGGCCACGGAAGGAGGGGCTTGTCTTAGTTAGAGGTTCCGAGATACAGTGCAGTCTGTCACGGCAGGATGCGCAGGTGCACACAGCAACTGGTAATAATGCCTCTGCTGCCACAAGGCAGAGGGAGAAAATGCTCAGTTTGCTCCTTTTCACTCAGTCCTTGATTGAGGCTCATGGGATGGTGTCACCCCACTTAACCCAATCTAGAAGTTTCTTAAGTGACTCTGGATTGTATCTAGTCGACCATATTAACCACCACAAGACACCTTTACAAGTGAAAAGCCAAGTCACTGGGGTGGAAACTTCCGAAACTCAAGCTCAGTGGCATTTACCCCCACCCCCAACCAAAGAGTCTTCCACCCAGTGACTTAAAAAAGGAAATATGAACAACAATAAAATTTAAAGGTCAAAACAAAATAATACTACATGAAAATCAAAGTCTTGGCTATTATTAACTTGCCAATAGAGTGTCTATCAGATTTTCCCTATTAGTGGTATTCCAAAATTTTGTCAAGTTTTGTTAACATATATAATTGGTATAAATGCATTATGCCAATTTTCTAATAAGCAGAAGAACTTAGTGATGACAGCAGCAAGTAGGAGACGACTTTTAGAAGAAGTTCTGGCCATGTGGCTGACTTGAGCTCTCTCTCTCTCTTCTCATTTCCATAAGCCCCTTTCGGGGTTCCCTGACCTTGGTACTATTACTAAACAACCCTCTCTGATGACCCTTCTCTTCCTTTTTCAATATTGTAGGTTCCGTATGTAACTACTGTGCCATGCTTCCCACCCAAACTATGCTAATATCTTTTATGCTAATGATATCTAAGCAATATGGAGTAATGGCAGTATGCTGGTAATAATATATTAGGCTTGATGTTTTGAGGCTGGACATGTAAAGTAGGCTTCTACATGTTATTCACAGTAAGACTCAATGAAAGCAGAATTGTAATGATAACTCTTTCTGCCAGCTGCCTGCGTTCTGTCGCTGCTTTAGGGCCCCCAAATAACACACAGAATCTTATATTAGTTACAATGCTGCTGGCTAATGACTAGGATTTCTTATTTGCTAGCTCAGTCTTAATTATCAACCATAAATACTAATCTATATATTTTTATAAGGACTTATCTTACCGAGGACGCTGTCCTCTCTTCCTGGGATCACATGGTGACTCTTTCCTTTTCCTACATTTCCCAGAATCCTCCTTCTCTCCTAGTCCCGCCTAACTTGCTTCCCTATTGGCCAACAGTGCTTTATTTATCTACCAATAAGACAAACATTTATACAGAAGGACCTCCCCCATCACAGAATGGCTGGGATTTTATTGGCCAGGCTCTACTAATGCTTAAGCATACCATAGAATTCTAATTTGCAATCAAACAATCAAAAACAATGTTCCAGAGGCTGCTGTTTCTAGGGGCTTGGTGGGGAGCACAGCAACAAGAGTCTAGAATAAACACACCAGCACTCAGATCTCATGTACTTGCTTGTTGTGGTCCAGCAGAAAAATTGCTAAGTTAAAAAGATCAATCTTCAGGAGCAGATGTCACCAACTGTACCCAACAGAGCATGAGGCTGTGCCTGCTCCTCATCACACCTGTCCCAGCTGCAAAGCTAGGCACCCTGTCTTTCCTCTTGGATTATGCCATCTATCTGGAATGTTCTTATAATCCAGAATGATACACGTAATTCTTTAGGATTTTCATCTGAACAATTATTCTGATTAAATGTCTACCTTCACAACCTTGTTAGTCGTCCATACATACATACATATATACATCTATCCATTTGCTCATGTAGAGGTTCATCCATCCATCTACTCACCCATCCATCCTTCCACTCAGCCACCCATCAATCTTTCCATCTATCAATCTATCTATCCATTCTTCCATCTATCCACTCACCTATTTGTCCTTCCACCTACCCATTTACCCTCCATCTTTCTACCTATTCATCTATCCATCTGCATGTACATCCCATTCATCTACCTATTCAAGTATCTACTCATGACTTCATACGCCCATCTATCCAACCTTCCATCTATCATCCATTCATCTATCCAACCTTCCATCTATCCATCCACTCATCTATCCATCTACCTACCTGCTCACCAAGTCATTCTATACGCATATGTCCTCTTTCCTTCCTTCCTTCCTTCCTTCCTTCCTTCCTTCCTTCCTCTTATCCATCCCACTCACCTATCCATCCATCCATCCCATTCATCTACTGGTTCAGCCAGCTGCCCATCTATCTGCATTCTGATAAAATTAATATTTAGTGAATGCCTGTGTCTGCTAGGTATCAGCATTACAATAAGTAATAAAATGGAAATATACACAGAACAAGTTACACTCATTGAAAAAAAACTTACTAAATAAATAACTATAAAGCTGAGATAATGCATACGAGAAGGACCTCTGCAGGCTGAGTTATTGGGTAGTGTAGTGGAAAAGATAATCTCTAAGTTTAAAATGTTATGTTAGTTATACATTATTGAATTATAAGTTAACTCCAAAATAGGCTCACTTTAAAACATAATGTTTGGGGCTGGAGAAATAGCTCAGTATTTAAGCCATCTGGTTATTTTCTGGAGAGATCCTAGCTTTGATTTCCAGCACCTACATGGTGGCTCACCACTTTCTATTAGCTACAGTTCCAGGGAATATGACACACTCTTCTGGCCTCTGTGGGCACTAGGCACACATACGGTACACAGATATACACATGGGCAAAACATTCATACACATAAAATTAAGACAAATACAACCTCTTTTTTAAAATCTATCATTTGAGGCTTGGGACTCAGTCATGGCTGAACTCCTTGGACAGAGCCTCACTGGGGCTTTAATCAAAATGCTGGCTAAGGCTGCAGTCTGACAAAAAAAAAAAAAAAAAAAAAACTTGCGGGATCTAGTTCTAGGGGCATCTACTCAAATGTCTCATTCAGTTTCCTACTTGTGATCTCTTAGACACAAGTCTAGATGAGCAGCTAACTTTATTATGAAGATCAAGTGGGGAGAGCTACAGAGTCAATAAGAAGCCCTGGCATGTTTAACATGGTCCCCAGGGTGATTCACCCCTGATGGGGGATGTCTTCTGTATATATGTTTCTCTTATTGGTTAATGAATAAAACACTGATTGGCTGATTGGCCAGACAGGAAGTGACATAGCTGGGTAGAATCAGGATATAAGCAGGGACAGACAGGAAGGAAATCTCTCTCTTCTCTGCTGAGACCCTGAGCAGTCATCATATACCAGGCAAAGGAGTTGCAGGTTCGGCATTCCCTGATAGGGTAAGACCACATGGAACTACATGGATTAATAGAAATGGGTTAGTAATTAAGACATAGCTAGACAATAAGAAGCCATAGCCAGCGGCCAACAGTTTCATAATTAATATAGCATCTGTTTACTTCTTTGGGGCAGAGAAGGGCGACAGAACCTAGCTGGGCCAAGAAAGCTCATGTTACACACCCCCAGGATGGGGTGTGCACTTGAGCCTGCTAACATGGAAGAATGGCAGCTCCTTGGGAAGAGCCTAGTTGCAGAACAGAACCAGTGGTTCTTCGGTTAGGATGATGTTGGGAAAGAAGGAGAATGAGTTTTAACTGTGAGGATAAGATCACCAACAAGAGTACCATTTCCTCCCCCTGACACCATTCATCTTCCGCTGTCTGTGGGAACTTGGTTTTGACACCTCACTTCCTTCATCACCCTTAAAACTCCCAGTGTACTGTTGCACCTCCACACATATTAATTAAAGCTGATGGGCTATTTAATGCCTTATAAATCTTCATCAGTTCACAAAACTGTTTTCTAGTTGCTTTCAGTATCTACAGATTCACGAAAAAGAACAGCTTTTATTTGCACAGCTGTTAGTACTGGTTAAGGCAGTCTATTCAACTCCCCCCCCCGTTATTATATAATTCTATAATTTTCAAATGAGAAATGTGCCCCCCATAGTCTCATGTGTTTAAGCATTTGGCCCCCCGCTGATGATGCTGTTTAGGGAAGTTAAGGAATCTTTAGGAGATAAAGCCCTGGGGCTTTGAGGTTTGATAGCCTAGTTCCACTTTTTGTTTTTTCTCTCTGCTTCCTGTTTGCAGATAGAAATGTGAACAGCCAGCTTCCTGCTCTTGCCATCATGCATCCCTCACAATGATGGTCTGTATCCCCTCTGGAACTTTAAGCCCAAATAAACACTTTCTCCCCAAAGTTGCTTTTGTGGGGATATTGTATCACAGCCCCAGAAAAGTAACTAACACAGTGGCCCACCCCTGAACCTTACTGTACTTGTAGCATTTGGGGGAATGTTTTGGATAGTGAGGCTATACTGTTAACTGTCCAACTTGGATTGTCTGAAAATATGCATGTGTGCCTGGGAACTTTTCCTGTGGCCCAACCCTGAAAATAATTGGAGCTCTACAAGGTCTTTCTTTGCTCATCCCCACAGGACATTTCTATAACCTTTGCCCCAGCTTTAAACCCATCCTGGCCCTCATAATAATTGCCTTGGCATTCTTGCCTTCCTGACCCTGAGAAGCAGCAAGTGTGTGTTGAAAGGGCTGAAGAGTCTGAGGGGTATTTGCAGGGGCCTGTTGCCTTATCCTTGCACGTTGATAGGATTAGATCTAACCTGGGGTGTAGCGCGGGGCCCTGGGGCTCATCCAGTTGAGGATGTTGGGCCAGGGGAGGGAGTGATGTCTCAGCCCACAGGCCCAGACAGGGCACAGAGTGGAGTCTGCCTGGAGCTGGTTGGCACAGGGCCCCAGAACCGGATGTACACTGAGCGGAAGGGTGTTAAGGAAGACTCAGGCCCAGGTGTTTCATCCCAGGCCAAGCCTATCACTCCATCTAACTTCACTCTGGGAGGTCTTCATTAGCCCTGTATTTTCATTAAACACAAGCATTCCCTGTGGAGGGAAAAAAATCACATTTTTGGTTCACCTTAGTTGAACTCAGAGCCTTTCGAAAAAACAGTAGTACCTGATCTGGCAGCTGGGTGTGGACCTGGGACCATTGCCTCAGTGGCATCAGAGGCAGCACTGTCTCCCTCAGAGGTGAGTGGATCACTACACCAAGCCCCGAGAGGACTCCTAGACACCAAACTCAAGTTCACACTATCACTTTGATTCCCACTGCTTCTGCAACACACTTTCAGATTTTCCAAGGTTAGAAAAAAAACTAGCAATGGTTTCAAGCTAGGTCAGATACTTGACACAGGTCATCTTCACTCATTCATTTTAACTTCACAAACGCTGGTTTTGATAGCTGCCTTGGTGAGGCCTTAAGCTTTGCTCAACATCAAATCCAAGCAAGTTGCAAGCTTCCCTCTCATACGACCTCTGCAAGCCATGTTAGGAAGCCCAAATGCAGGGGTCCATTTTAAGCCTCCATGGATGTTGAGTTCCCTACCTTAAACAAACTTGAGTCTCATACTGTGACTCCAGTGGCTAAATATGGTAAATTGGTATTCTTGCACCCACCTTCTACAGAAGCATCATGAGAGAAGGATCCTTGCTGTCCATCATGAATGATGCTGAGGAAGGAACAGCGTCTGGTTCCCTCCAGTGATACTCAGCAGTCTTAACAACCAGCCTAGATGAAGATCCAGTGTTTCAGCTGCCTGCCTGGCACCTGGCACTCTGGCTGCCTAGAATACTGGCTATACCCAGACAGCTGGGAGGTGGGAGGTCATTTCTGAACCTAGTCTCTTTCCAGAATGTCCTCACTTTTCTCAAATCTGCTGAAATCCTGATGGTTTGCAGCTGGCCTGACCTACCATCCTCAGGCCCTGCACTTGTGTGCTTTTAGCTCTGGCTGATCATGACCTTATCTAGTGCTCACACAGAGTGGCTTCCTTTTGAAGCCCTTGGTAACCTGGAAGCACCACACCTTGGCAGCTTCTTTGCAGCATATTAAAGATGCTCAGGAAGTGCTCAGGTGTTGCAGAAGACATGACTGGCGATGTCGGCACAGGGTAGATGCCGCAGCTTTGGGCCGAAGAGGCCCTTGCAGTACAGAAGGTAAATAAGAAAACACCTGTTGCTGGCATGGTGGCTCTTGCTTGAAATCCCAGCACTCTGGAAATCCCACCCACAAGCTCTCTCTTTCCAGCTCTTTCTACGCTCTCTTTCTGCTCTTTCTTTCCCTCTCTCTTTCCTGCTGTTTCCCTGGGGCAGGC